AATTACAGAAAGTATAAAAGGATAAACGATTCTAGTGAATAAAGATTTAATTATGAGAATTTTGATTCAAACTGAAGAAAGGCAAACCAGCTAGCTATTCAGTTCCTCCAGCTTACAAGCGAGTCCTAAAGGACCAAACCAAGGAAATTGAAAAGGAGCTTTTCCTTGTTCATTTCCCCGAAACCTCGTTTTAAAGCCAATATACTGAAATTAGTTTATCGAATGAAAAAATGGAGAATTTAATCATAAGGTCTGCAGACTACTAATCGGTAAACCCAGCGTCTTAAACCAGAGGCGGGTCGTGCCGCATCCAGAAAAAGCGTTATTTAACAAATAGAGAAGCCTTGACTGTGTTCTGTTCTGTTGTGAAGCACGCAGGAAGCGGCTAGAGCACGAAAGATGTGTAGGGAGAAACACAAGACGCTCTTTCAACCAATGACAGCAAGCATCATAAACGAACTTTATTATAATCTAAATAATAACTCGCTAATTTTTCCCGAAGTTTGAGAGTCATCAGACAACATTGCGAGCCATGTTCACTCAGAATGATTAATTATAGTGTCAATGTCTTGCTATGCGTGTTATGTTTTGAGAAACGAGTATTCGTTGGAATTATATATTATATTGCAATTAAGTGTCTTTAGCACGTTGTTTGCTCCATAATCATGGCTATCCTGTCGTGTACCTAAAGACTTCCAAGGTTATTTCAAATCCTTGAAAAAAATTATGAGTAAAACCATCGTATGCCCCCTTTATACTTGGTCTAAGATTTCTTACAATGAATTTTCCTTTTTAAATTTTACCATAGATTTCCTCTTAATTCCCATTCTTTTTACTTTATTTTTTATCTTTTTATCGCATCTTAAAATACAAGATAATCTCTTCAAAACGTTTGCTTTGCATGTGCAGTACTTATCTTTCTTTTATAAAGTGGGACTCTGGTACTATGTTTTCAGTGTCTATTAATATACAATAGAAAAATTAGACCAAAAACCTGCACACATAAACCTGAATAGAAATACTTTTTATAAAAAAAGCTTAATTTTCAAGAAATATGTTACTCGTCTTGCTTCGAGCGTGGGACAGAAAAAAAATGAGGGTCGAGGAGGGATCGAACCTCAGACATTTCGCACTCCGACACACTATCAACTCCAAGCGGGAACTCAGATTTTATTTCTTTTCTTTACGCCCTAGCCAAAGCAAATAAATATCCTTGAATATTCCACTGCCGTGCTAGAAGTTTTCGAGTAAAACGTTTATGTTTCATGCAGAACACTTATCTCAGTTCTTGTTTTCTCACGTAGTTTAACTGTTATCATCAAATATGAAGTGTTTTTTCCTTGCAAAAAAAAAGACGGGGATTTAACAGGAAAGCTGATGAAGAGTGGCAACAATGGATCCTGAAAAACTCATTAACACTTCTATGGAAATATATTACAGGTGTAATCCACAAAATTCAGAAATAATAAAACACAATAAAGAAGAATATTGGTCCGGTATTTTACCGAGATTTATCTCTTCCGCTCTTAAGTGGGACTTGATTAGTTTATCTTACTTCTATGACGTTAACCGTGGCATGAGTGCTTTGCTCTTGGCTCAGGTTTCTGAGTGTTTTTAGGGCGTTATACAAAAGTAACCAAACATCCGTCGTCTATCAATGTATTTAATACTAATGACACCATTGGTGACTGGGTTTCAAAACTCTCTGACACGAAAAACAATTATTTCAACGCGAAGAGCCCTAAACGGAAACTTGAGAAGCACTTTATAAACGCCGCCAATTCTGCCTGAGAAGTACATTCGGTTTCATATAAATTGAACGCGGTAATTCAAGGTTTGATAACAGATTACAAAGGTAAGTGCCTTAGTCCTGGTGTGCATCCCTATAACTTCAACTCCAAAGCCTTCACGTCTCAATTTGCGAAACGAGCATCAGTAAAACTGTTCCTAAGCCACTTGCAATTAATGACATGGACATGTAAACTAGCAAAAGTCCCCATTCAAAGGTAAGGAATGAAAAAGATATAAAAGTAACATGGGGAGATTAAAAGAAATATGGAAAGTTTAAGTTGTGTAATTATAGAAATTAGTATCTCTTGTTTACAATGAAATATTGTTTAAAATATTTGCGAAAAAATTCAGAATTGTGATGTAAAATTTGATGGAAACAGAAAAATTTCGAATCTTTTATCGTTATTTTTCTATGAAATGAGTTTCTCTATTGTTATTTTGTGTTTCGTAAACAACACGCTGGTAGTTCATGTATATGTACTGCTTGAAGCTTGAGTGCTATGAAGAGACTCTCAATGGGTTAACCGTTAGCCGTAAAACGCCTCAAAAATTTTGCCGTGAGGCGTAAAAATGACAAATTTTAACCGATAGTCATAAAAGAAGTTAACAGTAAAAAAATTTCTAGCGACAACAATGGAAAGATATTAACCGTTAGCCGTAAAAGCCATCACCCCATTATGGCCTTCTATTAATTTTGACAATATTCCGGGAACTTGTCATATTCTTTACTTTTTGGAGAGGTAACATTTTGGATTAAAAGGTTCATGGGAATAGAGATGACAAAGTAAGACTGGCGCTTGTCTGAAACCACAGCTGTTGTGCTGTACACACAAAGAGAGAACGACAGAAACTTTAAACGAGACCGATACACAGTGAAAGGATAATTCAACTCAGACTAGTAAGACAGAGTTTTCATCAAATAACATGTTAGCCACACATTTAAAAGCAGTTGTAAAATAAGGAAAGTTTCCTAAAAAATTTTAAAATTCTCGCGGCGAAAAAGTCGAAAGTTAAATTTTTTGACAAAAACAAATATTGCTTCAATTCTTTTTTGTTCAAACAACCAAGGGGTTAATTCATGTTTCATCCAATCGTATCTTAGGGGTGGCTTACGAATATTGACTGATATGTGATGAAAAGATCGACAAAACTCAAGTGTGTTGGGCGGTCATTTCCGAAAAGATACGCCTTCTTTACTTAGGGTGTAATAAATTTTCAAGTCTTTCACAGTGGCAAAACACTGATTGAACTGAACTTATTGAATGCTAGAGTAGCTATGAGTCGCAGTCTGTTATGTATTGATCGGTTTCAAGTTTGTTGACCTTTGTCGGCCTTCGAGAGTATCTTTTGTCTTCCTACTTAACAGAGTTACAGTGAGTAAATACTGCCGATTACATCGATGTAAAACTAACCAATCAGATTCCATGAGTCAAAATTTTAACATTCGAACTCCTAATTTGACTTTGATGATAACATCCGCTCAGGTTGTCGAAGCTTCAATCGCTTGTACTGATAATAGACTCTCGCAGGGCTATTCTTATTCAGACAATCAGACTACACGATAGACGTTTTACCCCTTGGTTCAAATCATTTACTGTGATTCTAAATTAAGCAATAACAAGGCGATTGTAAAGTCCTGGCCCCAGCTTGTTTGGGGGTGGGTAACGCTTTCCACAGGATAAATCTCTATCCAATGTGTAGTGCAGCGCGTATTGTTGGCACTTATCCGCTGGATAGCGATTTATCCGCCTGTAGGGTACATGTACAAAGAGTTCCCCTACGAATCTCTTTTAAGTAGTCACATTCACAGCAACAGATGCTCGAGTACATTCACAACCTGATAATTTTCTCATCTTTGTCTATCAAGTCCCCTAACCGAAAAAATAAACAACCAATTGTGATAGAAAATGAAAGTAGCACTCGTTGTTAGTGATAATACCAAGTATTACTAACTTAACCGTTTTCGCTATAAATTAATTTCTTTGTAAAATTTTCGATTTTCGCGCTATGCATTCAGTCTAGAGGGCCATACAAAAGACAAATTTCAAATCATATTTTGTCTTCAATGATCATTGCATACCATTCTTTTACAGGCTAAAGAGTCATCCATTCTTTCGTCACATACTATGCTCATAAACTGTGTTTCATATCTTTGTAACCCAAGGGAAATAATTGTCGTTCACTGCAAGGAATTTTCCTAGACTCAATTCAGTCAAATTAAATGTCGCCGGCTCAATACAAGGTTTCAAAAAGGCAACCTTTAAATAAGCAGCACTTAAAATCAAAGACGATTTCAGCAATTTCATCAACAGTATGCAACTGATTTGAGGGGCACCAAATCACAATGAATTCTGGGTTCAACTCAAGGTGATTACCGTCTAATAGTCAGTGTATACTGCGTGTTATCTCATCGTGACTAAACATGATACGAGGTAATTATTGGTTCTCTCCTTTCATGGAGGTCAAAGCCAATGTGAATATGGTCATTTGACATGCGATCCTTTGGTCTCTTGCATTTGACTATACAAACTCAAATCACGATTCAAACACATTGGGCGTAACAAAAGGTTTTTCTCTCACAACTTCTTAAAAGACACGTTAAATGCGAACGGCGAAGAAAGGGCGTACAAAAGTATGAACTACCACCCGAAAACAATTTCTTGGCCGAGTTCAAATTTCTTGTGTTTGCTGTCTTTGCTGTCTCTACTTCTTTTTCTAACAAAGGGTTCTTCTTCAGCCGGTTTTTATTTTTCATATTTCTGATAATATCTGATAAAGATTAGTACAACCTTGTCGGCTTTGTAACTGACTAGCCGCCTTTTTCGGCCTCTTTTAACTGTCCTTCGAAGGCCCGGATACGCCGTTATCTTTATTGTCACATTATCGACAGCCCTTTGTCCGTCGAACTGTTTTGGCAAGGATTATTATCTGTGATACTATAAGATGACGTTTTCTCTCCGGTATCTCCAGGAGAGTTTGCAGAGCAAAAACGCAAACGAAAAAAGCCACGAAATACTTTGGCAGTAGACTTGCTATATTCGGTTGTCAATCCACGTAAACGTGTTCACTCCAGAGAAAGAAAAGTGTTCAAAGGTTCTAAACTGAAAGTCAACAACGTAAAAAAAAACCTTTTCTTTTGAAAGGTGAAATTTTTAATTTAAATTTTATTAATTTAAACTACTTATATAGCTGTGTCTTTTTTGTCTTTCAGCCTTTATCATATGATTGCTCATGGCTTGGAATATAAGAATAGAATTGTGCTGGTGTATACTCGTCAGTTGGATTTTTGTAGTGGGTAGGTTAAAATCTTTAATAATCGATAGTATTTTTTAAAACAGCAGATTTATTACGTCTTGTAATCAGTATGAAAAAACAATGGCTAGCTAGAAGATTAGTATGGCATTAGATTAACAAGTATACAGCTACATTTGGAGGGAAGTTGTATATATTGCACGAACGTATAAAAGGTTGAAACTAACAACTATTAGCCTTTGAAAAGTGGCCATCTAAAATGGGAGGGCAACCTTCAGATACATGTAGTTTAGCAGGGTAAAACATTTCCAGATGGAAATAAAACTGAACAAAACATAAATTTTGTTGGGGTAGTTGAGGACTGACAAGGATTTTAAAACAAACCAACGTGAATTCTTAACGCTAGACGTTTTAAGGTGTACAAACTTCATGATAAATGCGGCTTTTAAGTGACCATTGGATCGTTTTTGTGAGCATCCCACTCACTAAGACCCGTAGATCAATCGTTTTTGAAAACCGTATCATCGAGAAACAGTCCGTCACAATCATCTAAACAATAACTTTATCAAACCGCACTTATGATGAATTGAAATTAACTGCAAAGGCTAGATGTACTTAAATGGGCGATATTTATTATCATAATTTTTTTTGATCCAAGGAACAGTAGCTAACTGGATAAAATTTTGTTTCGTCTACAGATGCGCTCAAGTTGAATCAACAGAGTATAAACAAGGTATGTTCAAGCCGATCCAGGGTAATTTCATTTCTTTCGAGGGAACCTTTTTATGATACACACAGGCTTGAATTTCCACAATTCTTTGTTTTTACATAGCGAAACGTGAGATGTTCACCTAAAATATTTTCATTGGAATCGGTTTAAATTCAGTTACTCTTCAATTGGCCCTATCTGTATCATACAGTCTTTATGAGAGCAGAAGAACTTTCCTTTCAACCTTGACTTTGGAAGTATTTGATTACGTTGTTAAAGGAACAAAAAAACGCAATTTATAAAACGGCGGAGGAGGTTAAAATGTTTAGCATAATTTACACGCACTTTCCAATACCTCTGCTGCCACAGATTTTCTCCCCTTATGGCTAAAAGTGAAGAGTTGGTGCGCATCAGAAACTTACTGAACAACACACGCATCAGAAACTTACTGAACAACACACATAAACATTCATCATCGATCCATGTACTAACATTTCAATTTTCTCGGACGGCTGTGAAAGATAACTGAAGCTTTTCTTTAAAATTGCAGCCCTTAAAAGTACATCATTATATGACGAGTAGGGAAATACGAACATATTTTGGCGTTGACACACATGAAAAAGGTATTATATTTGTTATCATTTACACTGTAGAATGATATCATCCCTTACTGGCGAGCCAACAACGGCTAAATTGAACGATGATTTTTTAAACTAGGCCAAACTAAGTTTAACTGCGACTTCTTTTAGAGATCACAATTTTTTTTGAAAAATCACAAAAAAATTGTGATCAGATTCCTTTACGGATAAGATGAAACCTCTTAAATTTGCCCTCTCCTCCCAATTGTGACTTGGTAACTCAGTGGGTAGCCGTGGGCCAACGAGTATTTGAGAGGCACTGGATTGATTCCTGTTGTTTGTTAAACTTCATTATTAGGGGTAGCAAAGGGGAGATCCTGATCCTCCTCACGTATTTTTTTAAAACAAAATGTACCAAATTAAAAAGAGAAACCTCCAAATTTCTCTTCTCAAGTGCGAGGTTTCAAGAAATCTCGAGGTTTTCACGAAATGAAAGTAAAATTCACTTCAGGAGGAAAATCACGCCTTACTCGGGGTCTTAAATTTACGCGTCTCATATTTATTTTGGCCTTAAAATTTTACGCGTCACGTATAAACCCTTCGCTACCCTCTTTTCTGCTGAAATTGCAAACCACCTGCGAAGATCATTTCTTTGTTTGATACCTTAGGGATCTCAGTCATATGAGACTCGTTCAAAGTGTATTCCCGTGTTGCCCTTAGTGGAGATGCCCTACTGATTCTTATTCATTAGTTACGGTACTTACCTTTCAAACCCTGATTCCTAAATTAAACGTTTATTAATTAAAAATGAGAACTGAATCTTGCTGAGTGGACAAATCTGGTCCTTTGGCCTTTTCCGTGATTATACCCAATACCAATGAGAAGAGAGAAAACACTGATTCTAAGTTCGAATTTTTCCGTCCCTCCCATTACCGTGTGAGTTTTCTCAGTACCGTCGAGGTCTTGGCTGCTGTTATGATAAACATTTTTGTCACTTGAAGATTACTCGGTAATAACTCATATCAGATGTAAGGGTGTCAATGAACGACGGCGACTGTGTATTTCATTAATCTTTTTTTATTCAAATTAAATGCAGTTCCCGAGTATGATGTCACAAGCCCGTTCCAAGCGGATGAATCCGGTAACTTTCTCAGCTACAAACTGCATGAGCATGCGCGACGAAAGAGAGACGCCAGTCATGACGAACCAAACCTTTGGTACTATCAAGTGCAGGCATTTGGTGTGTCCCTTCATTTAAATCTCACCAAAAATAATAATCTCCTAGCACCCGGCCTGGTGGTTGAAAAGATAAATAAGAATGGCAGCAAGGAATATAGTGAACCGCCGCACTCCGCCTTCTACGCTGGACACGTGACTTCAGATCCCAACTCAGTGGTTGCTATTGGCAACCATGATGGACTGGTAAGTAGAGCTCCATTTTGAATCTATTGTCGACAACAATTAATGGTGAAGGATATTTAGAAGATGTGTTTTTAATTCAAAAGTAACAAAACTCGAAAATTTAAAAAGATTTTTTAACTGATTATTAACTCTATCTATCCGTGAATTAAGAAGGTAAGTCTCTAAAGAAACAATCGTGCTTCGTTGGTGGGGGAATGATGAAGAGCTGACATTCTGACGATGGGTTAACGCTCGAAATGTCAGCTTCAGAAACTCTTTACGGAGGCCAATTTACATTATAGCGGAGCTCGCAGAGCGTAGCCCCATAATTATACAAAATAGTAGTAACCCATCAAGCCGAAAAAATTTGGATGTACGACCCTCTGACCGTATGACCGCACAAGGCGCTACTTTTAACATGCGTGGTCAACTGTACCGCGGTACGCCAACGCCACGGCTTTGTTCAGTAGTCCAGTGGTCAGTGCACTGGGCTCCGAGTCGGACGACCCGGGTTCTAGTCCTGGCCGGGGCAAGGCATTGTGTCCTGGAGACGTGCGGGAAAAAAAATGTGAGCTCCGTCTTTAGGCTTGGCTAAATCTATATATTAGACTCAGTTGATAAAACTAAATTTTCTTATCATCCTCGATTTAGTTTGCAAATGGACTTACTATGATTTGTTTTTATTACACAGTAACTTATTTCATTTGATGAATACTTATTCACATGTTAATTCAATTTCAATCTCACGTTTGCTCTCGGATTTTACTGTTGGTTAACAAATGGATTCAGTCTTTTTATTTGTTTTTTCATTTTGACTTGTTTCCAGAAAGGAATTATTAATCACTTTGGAAGTTCCTTCTTTATGCAACCGTTACCTTCCCGCCTCGCAAGGTACCATGGTGTTTCTAGTGGTTCTCAGCCACATCTCATTTTCCGGCGATCTTTGGATAATGAAGAGAGCAGATTTGGAGTCATAGGTGAGACGTATATTAGAAAGCCTTAACGGGGTGGGAAGTAATCGGATAAATTTTTGCTGGGTCGCTTGCTTCTCAGAACACTTACCCTATAATAGTCTATTCTTTGGCCATTTATAGGTCTCATCTTAGTCACGTTTGGTAGAAACGAATCTTCTCATTTTTATATTCCTTTATATCACAATTTCTTAATCCCAAAAATGTGCAACCTCATTCTTATAGCTCTATTGAAACGCAATTCCATTATTATCAAAATGTAACCTCATCCAGCGGCACATCCCCATCAGCCAATTACAAGGAAGATACACGTAACAGGGTTGTTTGATTGACACCTGACAGGGAAGTTTGCCCTTGGTTTAAGCCCCCCCCTCTTGGTCGATTCCAACAAACTTGTCAGGAAACAACCACTGACAATCTTTGTTCTCTCGTTGATATCTTTTCGTCTCTTTAAGTCTCTCATAAAGAATAGACTCACTCGTAAAGTAGTGATTGTAAAGCGAGGTTCTTTGCTGAATCGTCCAACGTTCAAAGCGATGCTTAACCACCCTTCCCTAGTGTCATGTTTTCTGACACTTTGTCAATAACAAATTCACTTGCAGTCCAAGAGGAAGAAAAACGTTCGAGCTGTTTGCATCATCGACAACCCAGCTCATAGGAGATCGCTCTACGACCTTAGATTTTAACCTTACGATGTTACTCTTCTTTTTTTTTTTTTTTTTTTTTTTTTACCTTGGAACAGAAACACAGTTAAAAAGGAAATCATCATTAGATAAGGAAACAAGCAGAAGCTTCTCGAGTTCTAGAAAATCAAGATCCGTCCCAGACAAACATCTAGAGGTTCTACTGGCAGCTGATCATCTGTATCTGAATAAATTCGACAGCGATAAAGAAGCCACGGATCTGCTTTTAACACTAGCTAACATTGTTAGTACCTCATATTACTCTCCTCGTTTTGTCGTCTGTTTACTTTTTTATTTATTAAATCATTATCATTATTTGTTTATCTATGATATCTATGAATCTATTTATCGTAAAGCATTTAATAAACTTTAGGCGGCCAACTTACACTATCGACTTAGGTGACGACACCAAATTACCTAGCAATACCTCCCACTGACGCGGCACCAGGTCCTTTATTCATTCATTGAAATAATTTCGCTGCCGTGTTTAGTAGGCTGCATAGGGATACCAATTTTTATGGTGTCGGCTTTACACGTTGAATCTGTTAGATCTCGCGAACAGATTACACGGCGTATACCTCCAAATTTACTATAAAAGATCTTGATACTATTGATTTTTCTTTGCTGTCTTTAAGCCTATGCAAACACTTTATCATTTGTGTTTTGATCCTTGATAAACCTGTCGTCTGCACTTGTGGTGTTCAATCTGTTGATCTATATATTTAGTTGTATCGATGTTTTTGAAGGCGCGCTGGGAAAAACTGGGTGGGAATTTTTAAATAGGGGCTGGCTGGTAAACTGAAATATTAAAATTTTCATAAAGAATACACAGATCAGCGAATAATGGAAACAGCGTTTTCTTTTCTTTAATTTCTTGTGGGACATGATGGCTAATGGCCCTTAGTTCAATGAACTCACCCAGTTTTTTCAATACCGCATCTAAACATGTAGAGCCGAACTTTTATTTCAGGTAAATGCAATGTATCATGACGAAAGCATTGGGGAGATCAAAGTCACCATTTCAGTTGTAAAGATAGTACTGCTTCATCATGGCGTGAGTATTAATGGCATAATAGCGCATGCCAGGAAACAAGAGGATGTAAAATTTGCTAAACAAAAGTGAGGAGGGAAAGTTCTGATTATGTGTTCGGTTCAATCCTGCCTCTGTGCCCCGGTCTCGAGCTCTTCAGTTGCAGAAACTGAGTAGCCATTCCGATCAGTTTTAAGAAGAAATGGTCAGTTGTAAGGATTAATTTTATGGAAATTTCAGATAAAAACCGGTCTTAATATGAACCATTAGTTCATGGGAAAAAAATTATTGTTTTAACCAAGTAAATAAAATATGAGGAGATTAAGCAAGCAAAGTGCTCTGAAAGGCCTGTTTTGGACCTGTCCAAGTGCAGCTTAAGCAAAGCACGTTTCTTTCTTTGGTAACCCTGCAACATTGTGCAACACCAAGTGCTCTTTTTGCTTTGTACTAATAATCATTTCCTTAAGACTAAACAAGGAAGAATAAAACGGATTTATGTTTTTATACAGCTAAGTTACACTAGTAAGGCAACTTCAGGACAAAGGCTGAGTGCCATGGAAGTTTGGATTGGTGGTAATATGCCAGAGTCAGACGCTAATAAAGAACATGGAGACCAAGTTCTGCTTGTCAGCGGGTGTGTATAATAATGCTTCGATTATCTTGCTCGTACGTTGGTTATTTAATTCGTTAATTATTTTATATATCAGTCTTTTATCTATCCATAATTCTGAACATCTATCTATTCCTGCCTCCAATCGATTAATCAATTAATAACTTTATTTAAGTGTCAGTGATATTTACCCGAGGAAAAAAGCTCTACTGATTTGGGACACTAAGTGACAGCATTAATGGATTTTGTCATTCACTCGTTTGTTCTTCGATTGCTCATCCCGTCTTTCATCGGTTGATTTATCCATTCACTTATCACATAATTTATTCATCTATTTGCCTTTACATTTAATGTTCCTCATTTCTTTTGTCAAAGACCAACGCTTTTCAATGATTTTACTAGGTTGTTTTTCTTATGAAAAGGCCATTTAAACCAATCTTCAAAACTCATCATTATGTTTTATTTTCTTGTTTTTATTAACTTTTGTCTTTTTTCATCTTCTAGCCAAGGATTTGGAGGTAAGACTGCTATCTAAGGTTGAAGGCGAGGGAAGTTATTCTTCTTTTTCTTTCCCTTGTTTGAAAAGGTTCCAGAGTACATAGGAATACTAGAGTCATTTCCTGCCGAAATTTTTTTTTCTGGTCATTTTTACCCCAAGCAAAAGACAGCACCACATTTCAACTTTTTTCACAAACTGAGAATCTAGCAATTCTTTATCACTACAGTCGGGCATTTGGTAAATCCCATATACAAGACATTATCACCTGCTTATCTTTTCTTGAAGTGCAATGCTTAGTTTTTTTGCTATTTGCTTGTTTAACTGTCCCAGTTCTCAAAGTGTTATTGCTTGAAAACCATTTACGTAAGATTTCTATCTTTTCCGGTGTCAGATAAAGTTAGTAAGATTCTTTATGCATTTGATTGTACAATCTCCTGTATTGAATAATTCTCTCTCAGGCTTAGCTCAAAGTGGATCAACCTGCAAAGGGTATGGGGCAAGTGTAAGCAATGGTGACTTGGGCCTAGCGACCGCCTTAATCATGGCTCACGAAAGTGCACACGCGTATGTAAACTTGTATATCATAGTTTAATTAGAAATATTATATTCGATGAGAATCTTATGCACGCATGGAAATCAAATCATAACTATTGACTGTCTTCAAATTATTTATTGTTTTTAAAGTTTCGATACACATTTTATTGCACTTGCGCAGAAAAAGACCTTAAAGGGACCGGTCATTAATAATCTTCCGGGGAAGGGGATAATTTTTATTGTATCACGACAAAATTGACCTGATCCCCCGATAACGCTCTGCAATATTCTCATGTTCCCGTCTAATAGGCAGCAGTTAATTAGAAGTAAATGTTGTATATTTTCTCCTTTATACTCCGTTGGCAACGATTAACCCTTCCCCCCCTACCCTCCGTTCTGCCTGAAAGCCCCTCCCCCTGCCCCCAGGCAATAAATAATGACTGCTTCCTTAGTGGGGGTTCTTGAGTGGAATTTTGATAGCAATCCGAGGTAGATCTTACTTTTAAACTTTGATTCCCTTTGCGAAGTTACGATTGTTCTAAGGGAGGATATAGTTTATTACATCGCCTATCATTATCCATGGCTGGTTTGACAGTTAACCTCAGTTGATCAGACCTAATCGAGCTTTGAATAACACAGCCCAGGGGTTAATAAGGCTCTGAATTAGTAACCCAGGCACGGCACGCATTCAGAAACGGGATGAGACATGTTCTGGGTGTATACGCTAACTTTTTACGACAGAGGACTTGAGATTTGAGAGTATAGCTGAAAGAGATTTTCTAGATTAAACAAGTTCAAATGACATCTAATGGTGACGACAAATCCTACTGTCGCTTCAATTTGCACTTTTCATTCTTTCACTTTCCTTTAGCCTTGGCGTTGGTCACGACGGTAACAAAGAAGCTGGTTGTCCAGACGACACGTTCATCATGTCCACCACAACAACGGGAGGGAAAAATGCCTTCAGGTGGTCTCCCTGCAGTAGCGCTACCTTACAGTCTTTCCTAAGGTAAATGTTCTATCAATTCCTAGGATGGGGATAGGGGGCTTATTAAGGCAAAAAACATAGGGCTTCCAAATAAGGGGTGGGGGTAGTTGAATTCCCCTCCCCCAAGGAGAGGGGGCAATCAAAGAGGGGGGGGCGGAGCTTCGTAAAAGCCCACTCTTGGCCATAATGCAAGTTATTTGTTCTTCGAGATTATCGTCCGAATTTGCCTAATACCTTGATAGCATCCATGTCTTTAGCTGCAAACTTATGACATTCAAAACTTTTATTGTACTGGTTCTCAAACACAAACATTTTTTGGATTTCAAAGTCACCCGGCCCAAAAGAGTAAATCTTTCTCCTGAATAGTTTTTAATCTGGCGAAGAAGGAGGGGGCGGACTTTTTTAGAGAGAGGGAGACTTATTTAAAAGACGCCTGAAGTGTTAGACAGGTGCACTTACTAGAGCCTTAGTTGTAAGTAAGAGAATCATTCCTTGAGTATTGGCACACCAGATTAATCTAAACAAGGATTTTTGACTTGCAACCCTAATGTTTATTCAGTCACTTGATGTTTCGAGGAAACATGACTTTAAAAATGCTGAAGTTTTATTCTTAGGGCTTTTTTTTCGCAATTGGGGAAAGGATTTCTTCATAAATCCATGTTTTTTCAATACATTTCCTTCCTTCTAGCGGTTCATCTTCGTCTTGTTTAAACGACCACCCTCTCAAAGATATTTCCGGATCAAGAGCCAATCATAATAAATTACCTGGTCAAGTGTACGATAGCGATGCACAATGCGCACTTCAGTTTGGTGCCAGCTATAAACTGTGTCCAAGGATGAGGGTATCAAGATATTCGTAAACTCAAGGGACCAGTCACTCTGTTGCACCTGGAGGGGTCGGAGAATTTTGGTTGTATCAAGATCAAATTTACCTGATTCCCCCTTAAGGCTCTGTAATATTCTTACGATTCTCCCCCACTCCCCCCTCCCAATTGGCGGTATTTACAGTCAGTTTTCTATATTTCCCGCTTTATACTCCTTTGGCACGTGATTCTCCAAAATCCTCCGATACTCCTCCACCCACGCGATAAAAATTGACTGGTCCCTTGTATGAGCCCCAACTTTAACATAAAGTTCAAATGAAATTCTTCTTACAGGTTTGCTGCAAACATTATTCAAAACAGTACTTGTGGAAATTTGTCAAAATTCTGGGCACTGTTCTTTGACGATCGCACTCTTGATTCTCCTGACCTTAACCTGTGATGAATACATTCTGCTGACTGATATTCTGAGGATGATTTTGATGCTTTCCAACCTAACGGTTTAGTAAATTAAATTTTGGAGCAATTTCTTTCGAGTGTCGTTAACCAAAACCCAAGAAACGAACACCACATATCAGCGCAGAAATTAACTTGTCAAAGAACTAATGTAGATTCAAACCTAAAGCATGTGAAGGGTTTTAATCGCGGGGAATAGCGGGTGACCAGTGGATTTGGATTTTCATCTGAGAGGACGTTGCGAGATTCTTAGACCAATCACAGTACTGTGAGGCAAACTGATGTGTTCCAAACTATCTTTACCCGGCTTCGGTTGGAAATTCCCGTAATGCAAATTTGAGTGAACGCTGATGAGATTTTTGTTTTGAAAGGAAGATGCACAACACCTATTTTGTTCTATGTGATCCAAAGGAAGTTATACTTTTCCCATTTTAACTCGAAAATAAAATTATAACAATCATCATTTTGTTTCCTCCAGTCGAGTTGCGGCTCTTTGTATTGCACAAAGGACGGCGGTGCCTCTTGTGTGAGCAGCGTTGTGCCACAAGCAGATGGTTCAAAATGCGGTGAAAGACAGGTAAACAATATTACAAAGCTGCATTTGTGCTAGAATAATCTCTTCCACAAAATGTCCTCTCTCAAATGTTCCTCCAATTTTACTTTCTTGTTCTTTCGTGTACCCTCATGTTGCACTAATTGATGTGTCCTGCCTGTGATCAAAAGTGGTGCATTAAAGGAGAATGCGTTGATGACGGATCGCCGATGATTGACGGAGGTTGGAGTCAGTGGTCAAGCTATGCAGAATGTTCATATTCCTGTGGTGGTGGTGCACAGTACAGAACAAGAACTTGCACTAATCCCCCGTAAGTATATATGTATTCTTTTTCAACAGCAATTTGTGATCACAGCATTTACTTGAAATATATTTATATGAGGTTTAATAACCCTCCAGCCGAAAATAGATGATGGCCCTTCTAGCCTGTTTCTGTTTGTTTATGAATAATCAGTCATAATTTATCATGAGTCCTTTTAATAAGACTGAGAGGCATAAAGCACACCCGTGTCTTTACTGTTTTTGCACAATTGGTTTTAGATTGGGGTAGGATTTTTTAAGGGGGAGGGGGCGTTCTCCCTCTTTCCTTATCTCTATGTCTGACTATTGTCCGTCCGTCCGTCCGTCCGTCTGTCCGTTCGTATGTTAGTTTGTTTCGGTCACTTTTTGTTTGTCTCTGTCTTTTTCTACAGTAATTTTTTTTCTTCTCATTTTTCTGACTATTTTGTAGACCTAAAAATGGAGGCATGGATTGCGAAGGGGAGAGTGTAGGACATTGGAGAATATGCAATCCAGAGGTAATGATAATGGCGGCAATAACGAAAATGATGATAGTTAAATAATGATGATAATAGTAATCATTATTATTATTATTATTATTATCATTATTGTGATAAGAAGAATGTTGATTGGGTGAGATAAACTTTATCAAAAGTGACATTGCTGCATAGCCTCGTGACCATAGTTATTATTTATAGAGGCATTACGAGACTATCTAAAGCAACAAATAGATCACAGCCGACCCACCTTGACTGACAAATCGAAACTGATCACAGATTACAAAGGCCGAAAGCAACTTGGGTTTTATATGCGGGCAGTTTCATATGTTGATCAGTTTCAACGAAGCAGAACTAAAAAGTACGAATGAAAAGCAACTTCCGCTGAACCAACATGATAATGTTTTCCGATCAAGCTATGGAAACGTCGGTCACTGTAGTAGACAAAAATGTTTTTGACGACTAATTTCAGCCGGAAAACGACAAATAAAAATCGTTTGAGAATCTCATCAGTAAGAAATCTACTCTGACTGTAAGATCTATTATGGCAGGCTTGTCCAGAGGGAACACCGACCCATCGAGAGGCACAATGCACCGCGAAATGGTCAGGATCATATCCCCATAAGTTACCTAGTAAGTATAATGTATCTAAACATTCAAAAAAGGGACCTATGAAATTTTGATTTTACTACATTTGGGAAATATAGAGGCCGTCATCTCAAAGTCTTTCACGGCCAAAGTATCCCGTAGAAATTAACCTTGATCTTACACGTCTTTCACTTGGAATTATCTGGATATTTGAAAATCTTGACCATCTTTGGGTCTTGTTTCTGGTTGACTCCTACCTCTTTGTTGATTAGCTACCTCACGAAATATTACTTGGAGGGTTCGTTCTATTTTAGGCAAAATGCGCACACGGCAAGATTAATTAAGAGGAGTCTGTTGGTGCAGCTCTTATAGACTAAGCCTCAGCTTTTCTCTTATGTAATAACACAAAGAGTTCCTTCTAAGTGAAAACCAACAAAGCCACATTACTGAGGAAATGGAAAGACTATCATCTTCGACAAAAATGGTTTGAGCATTCATCGTGACGTGGTCGTCGTGAAATGATAGCTTTACCTGCCCCTTGCGCACACGTGTCGTTTGGTTCCGTCACGCAGCGCCTTCCTTAAAGAACGTGTATTGCGCAATAAGACTTAACAAGGACTGCGAAAGGGACTACTTTCCTTTCCATTTTGCGACCTATATTCAGAGAAAAAATTAAAGGAACATTTTAATGGGGAAAGGGAAATATAAGGAAGCGCTGTTTTCCTGTTCTTCACTCAAAAAAGGAAGTGTCCCAGGAAATTACTTGATCTGGGATTGTCCCTAATCCATATATCTCTACTTTACGAAGTATTTAAAGTTTTTTATTCTGTTTTACTCAACGCAGACAGACATCCTTGTCAGTTGGTCTGTAAGTATGGAACCAAAGGCCAGCCATATGGAACTGTGAAAGATGGAACACGATGTAACCTGGACAGAAAAATCAAAGATGTTTGTATCGGAGGCAAATGCAAGGTTCGTCAATAAATTGAAAAAAATGGCATTCTTTAAGAGGTTGTCCAACTTGGCTTTAGATTTAAGAACGACAAGTTTTAAAGGCATTCAACACAAACAAAACTATACATCATAAAACTGAGTAAGATCAATTTAAACATAATTTCTATTAATTCATTAAAGTAATCGATACCGATGACAGCTCTATCGATGACAAGTTGAAGAACTTACCCGCTTAAAATTATTTTAATCGTAGTCTGTTGGTTGTGACAATATTCTGGAATCTGGTGTGAAGTACGACCGCTGTAAAGTTTGTAACGGAGACAGTACAACCTGCAAAATGGTCTACGGCAAAGTACTAACGCCCTGTAAAGGTTTGTTGGAACACGGCTGATCACATGAATAGATGATAATAATTTACTGAAAGTATATTATCATCACTCCATGCAGGTTTAGATTGGTTCTCACTTGTGATTTATTGGAGGCTAGGTACAAAGATTAAGACCTCAGTGAGAAATTACTACATCATAGGATAGCAATCTGGAATGAGAAATACAGCTTCAGAACGTCTTTTGTTCTTGCTCCCGTTTTTGTTCTTTTGTTCGTTCAATCCTGGCAATCACAACTTAGAGCAACAGCCATGAGCACTTAACTCATTTGAAAACGATCTCGAAGTGGATGACCAAAACCATGTAGAAGGTTAGATTGATGACACGCATCAATAGTAGAAGCTAATGGATGAATCCCAAAATCTATCCACTTTTTAACATCCATCAGACGAACTCCACGAACGATTTTTCAAAAACGTTTCTTTCTCTCCCAAACATCATGAGCAGCATGAGTTCTGATAGGCCATATTTGATAAATAATTAATCTTTATGAGAATAAAAGGCGCACCTCAGTGCCGGAGAGAAATGCCATCACAGCCCTACAGGATCCTCAACTATTCCAAAATTTGCCAGGTAGCTCAACTACGGATAGGGAGAGGCCGTTATGAGGATTGGCTCCGTCGTGCTCTCCTGATTGATCCACATACCCTTAGTAGTCATATAGCCTAAGAAATTATTTTCTCCATTTATTGATTTAGGAAGTTGCACAGTTTTAGACGTTCCCATTGGTGCAACGAATATAACGGTCAATGAAGAAGTGGAAGACTGGAATTTTCTGGGTAAGGGTTTCTCTGTTCGATTGATAAAGTTTAAAATTTCCAATTGGAACCGCTCCGAGATATGAGCGTAGATTCCTGTAAACACATAGGCATTGGAGGAGGTAAACTGAAGTAGGTGACTGTTGCAATAAGCAATAGTTCTTGATGCTGTTGAGGGGATGGGAATGGTCGCCTTAGGATACGTGTTTGGTGAGTATTATAGGCGCTGGACCTCTGCAAGAGAAGTGCGAATGCAAACCCTGGCCGGTTCATTGTGTCGTGTTCCTGGGCGAGGCGCTCTACTCTACCGCTACTTTTCGTACTCTTGTACTGGGGAGTAAACACGAGTACCAAACCAAAGCTTCATTTAATGTAAACCGAAAAGTCACAGCAGTTATGTGAGACACTTTTCTTTACAGTTTTTATCTTTAATCATTTTTTCTATTCACGACCTAAGGTGTAAAAGATGATTCTGGAAAAGACGTATATCCTGTGATGCGTACATGGAGTACATCTAAACCCGCTGCAGGGACCATTGTGTATTATTATCACGAAAAGAACGAAGACGCTGATAGAGTCTTCATTCCCGGACCAACCAATGAACATCTTCAAGTCTACGTAAGAGGGCGGTCGATGTTATTTACTTGATACCCTCATAAAGCTCTGTTATATGCTTATTATCCCCCTTTCCCCTCATCAGATTGATTAGCAGTCAGTTTACTTAAGTCTCCGCTTTACATTCTGATGGCAACGACTGATCCTTCGTCCATTCCACCTGAAAACCGTTCGATCTTCCAAAATCCTCCAACCCCCCGCCCCCTCCCCCCTCCCAGGCGATAAATAATCCAACACCATACTCAGACATATATTCATTGGGTATGGCAGAAAGTCAAGACAATAAATCTTATTGACTCTTATTTCGATTTTCGAAAAAATGCGGCAGTATAAAAGGAATGCTTCAGAGAAAACTGTTTGTTCTCCCTGTTGTGTCCAGTCTTGAGGTTTCCACTTAATCTGCAGCTGGAAATTAACATACGACATGAACAATGTCTATCAATACCGAAATTTCATAATCAAAAGTCGTTAATTAATCGAATTTTCTGAGAACCGTGGAAACGGAAATGAATGACAGCGGTTGGAAATGGGCAACTTGCACAAACTCAAATCGACAGAAATCAATGGCGTTCTCTAAACAAGGCCTTTTGTACATAGACGCACAAAGAAGACCAACTAATTGAAATTGCTAAATGATCAATCAGTAGATTAAGCTTCAAACACTTTTTCTCTTCTGGTGTATTTGTAGTATAAGCAATTTGTTGCAAGGCAGCCAGTGGATTACTCGCTTAATGAACCTGCTGGCGATGAACATTTAAAACCAGGAGCAGCTAATTGGGTTAAAGGCGAATGGAGTGTATGCACGCACTCATGTGCAGGAGGTAGGAAGATTCAACAAAACCTAGTGATTTATAAATATAGGGAATAAGAAACTGTGGTGCTGCGTCGGTGGGAGAGTATAAAAGGGTAATCTAGTGTTAAATTACCTAGTGACCTAGAACTTCGTTTAGTTTTGAAAAATTTAACTCACCTTAATTTCTTTATTATCATTTATAAGGAATTCAAACGAGAACAGTGGAATGTATCTTACAAACAGACGCGACTTATTTAAATGATGCCGTTTGCGAAAAAACGACTCCAAAACCCGCTAAACAGCAGGACTGTAACACACAGAGCTGTCCTCCTACGTAAGTAAATCAAAATTTCCAGCTCATCATGTTTTTTAAACTCTGAAGGAAACCGAAAAAAGAGAGATGAATTAATCAATTTGTAGAAACTATCTCATGCATGATGCTACACGCATTTTGATTTGCTCTCACGTATCATCTTCTTTCCTACAGTTATCGTACAAGTAATTTGATCAGACATCATTTTGACGTCAATTACCGTTTAATAATGTCTGGCCCTAAATTTTTGTTTACCGTCTAGTTGGTACGTATCTGGATGGCGTCCATGTTCTAAGACTTGTGGTAAAGGAGCGCAAACACGTGAAGTCGTTTGTCGACAAGAGGTAACCAGAGGAAAATTCCAAACACTATCCGACTCCAAATGCACCGGCAACAAACCGTCTGACCCGGTGTCACGTGACTGCAATAAGATAGACTGCCCTGCTGAAAACGTTCCAGGAGATTGGTCAGCCGTAAGTGAAATTAAGAAAGTCATTACAGACAAATGTACCAGGGTTTCACCGAGAGCTAGTAAATACGTCTGTCGATCTGAAAAAAGGGGGCTAAATTGTCCCGCACTAAAATACAATGACGGACATTTTGGCGTCCTTTGAACAGATGGCGTAGATATTGATGGGGTACGGCTCACGACGGGGGGGGGGAGTGAGGGGTTTGAGCTCTTTTTATCCATCAGGCGCTACGTTATCCGGTCGTTTCGAGCCCACAGTCGTTTCGTACCCAAATGCAGTCGATTCATACCCAAGTTTGACTTTATTCGTACCCAAACCGCTTATCGATTCTGGAAGGTAAGAATCGATCAGTAAACGTTTATTTGAAATACCTCACGCGCGAGCGCATGGGCAGATAGCAATTTTTGCGTACGACGAGTCAGTAGAGTCAAGCAAGTCTTTAAAAAGCACACAAAATTCTATTTCTTATAGTTATAACCTTATTGCCTAGAGCAAGGTAAGTGTGATATTTTTATTAGGATAATCTTTTGTTTATACTTGTGACTTATACGTGTAAGTGAGATATTTTTCTCATTAAGTATTTGTTATGACTTTTCTTTTCTTTTTTCTCACGAAACGACCGAGCTGGGTATGAAACTATTAAACTGACTAGGTACAAAACGACCCAGCTGGGTACGAAACAAAGCCCACACCTAATCAGGTCTCGTGCTTATAAAATCTAAACGCCTTTTTAGGAGGGAGATCAGACATCGTTCCCTTCCGAAAGTTCATTGACTACATCGATCACTTGTGATGTGCCTCACTGCTTATATGATAAAACAAAATCATCTGGATTGTTATTTACAGTGTTCCACTTCATGCGGAGCGGGAATCAAAACCAGGAAAAAGTCTTGTCAGCGTTTAAAAGAGACAGGTGTGTTTGAGCCTGTTCCGGAGGTCATGTGTTCGGCAGCAACTGTTCCCCCTTTACAAGAAGGCTGCAATCAGGATGTAAAATGCCCAGGTATAATTATAATAATTATTATAATTATTTTATTATAATAATAATAATAAGACATAACGAGTGTATTAGCAAGCGAACACGCAATAGAGCGAAAAAGTGGAGAAACTAACAACAGGCGAAGGGACGAACCGGTGAACGATGAAATAAACAAAAAAAAGGGAAAATAGAACGAACGAACGAAAAACTAAAGGTTAGAACGAGTTAATTTTTCGTTTGGTAAAGTATCATTTCCGCATGCATCCTTAAAAAGAATGTTAAATTTCACTTATTCGAAGGCTGTAGCCAATAAACCAACTAATAAGCTGCTTCAAAATGTTACTATTATCATCGTTATTGATATTATGAGTACTATTATTTTTATCATCACCCTCATTAATATCAGTATAATCATTACTATAGTCATTCTGATCTTTCTCGTAGTTATTTCTATCTATACACCACTCTTTTCCAAATCCTCAGGTGATCGCCTGTACGAACCATTAGGATGTTTCAGAGACGGTAACCCTAGAGCCTTACCACTACCGATCAAAAACTTAAGGAAGGGCATTAACTGGCGTGACATGTCCGAGACCGTGGCGAAATGCGCCAAGGCGACAGCAGAGAGAGATCCTAGTCTGAAGGTGTTCGCCCTTCAGTTCTACGGTGAATGTTTCTCCGGTACCAATGGTTTAAAGACATACGATAAATACGGTGCCCTGCCTTACGGTGAAGATAAAATTGAACATTGTTGGGAAGGAGTGGGAAGTGCTGGAATCAATTTTGTTTACAAGTTTGTCGACTAAAGTGGTATGTGTGCCTCAAATACTCAGGTTTGGTCTGTCTAAACGGGGCCGGGAAACTGGATCGAGTGAATGAACATAATGGAATATGGTCATGAGACTTCCAGAGAAAAATGTGGGAAATGCTTTCAAACGAAATGAAAGAAAACACTTATGTTGAATTTTCTCTTAGCAACCCTAGCAATAAGTTCACGTGGTCGCCTCAGCATGCATGTCCGAGCAGTCATGGCCGCTTGTCCGTTTTCCTCTACTTTGTGATTCTTAGATTGTAACAAACTACGGAAGTTAAAATGTCTGTTCGCCAAGTCCCCTTCAATCGTGAAAGATAGTCATTTCGTTGTAATGTTGACTTGTATTCTCCAAGAGTAGATGTAAAAGCCGTTTCTGTTTATGAGTGAGCACCGAGCACCAAGCTACAACGTCTCAAAGTAGCATCGATTCTATTTTTCCTTTTCCCCCTTCTGCTGAATCCCCTCTCCAATGGGTGGTTAATTGTACTGATGTGACCGTGCTCCCAAACTTGTTTACTAGCCATAATTTTTTTTTTGAGTTTGATACATCTACAAGGAAAATATAGAATGTATGTTTTGTAGCACGATGATGATGTTTTGCTATTAGCCGGTTCTGTTTGCCAACTAAGGACCTTAAACAGTCAGGACGGCAACGCCAAGGAAGACTTCGATTAAAAATGAATTTCTGCCTTAAATTAGAATTTCAAAAATGGCTGCATTTGTTTACCGTCTCATACGGCGCCACACCTCAACTTCAGCAAAACGTTTAAAGAAGCGTTGAGTTCCATATGGAAATTAAAATAATTTGCCGTCGCGGTTTCGGTTCGCAGACGACGCAAATTGTGATGATTTCACGTTGTTGTTTTGTATAGGACGGCTAAGAAATGTACAAAGTTTTAAAATGCACGTGCTGAGCTATTGTTCTGACCAACTCACAAGGCAAAACTATTGAGGAGCTTCTTGGCTTACTCTTAAGAGGGCTGATATCTTTACAGAGAATGAGTTTATTGGGGATCACAAGCAAAGCAAAAGAATCTGGGATTTATGAAGCAAACCCAAAGAAATGTTAGGGAAGAGAGGGAATAGCTTCCGATGAACTAACATTTCATACAGAGGAGAAGCAATACTTCATGTCAATCACTAACTTTACATTTTCTGCGTTATTTTTTTCCGCAGGATTGGACTGATGATAAAACCTCTCTGAATACGATGTGAAGAATATTCAAACAAGATCAAAGAAAAAGGAATTACGGAAAAAAATATCAAGCACCTAACATAACAGTTTATGTAGTTACGAATACTTAGCGCCATTTTTCTTCCGTTTGCAAAAAAAAAACTTACTGTTAAGGTATCATGGGTGAAATATTAAACAGTCTAAATAAACAAAGCTTGTCACCTTGCTTGCTCTCGTGCTCCTTCTATTTTCGCAATCAAGTGGCTTTTTTTTAATTAAATGATAACTCGGAGATTAACTGCAATTACATTTTAGAGATAAAATGTAATTGTACATCATAACCACCATGGCCCACAGTACCTTTTGGATGGCGAACGGTACACGTACTTCATCATCCTTCCACCATATCAGTGGTGCTGTTGCAGGTCTTATAGAATAATTTAGCTCCCGCGGTTCATGTAATGCGCTTGCGTAGCTCCATAACAAAGAGAAAATGGTAACCTTACATGTTGAAAAAATTTTGTCGTAATTTTATGACCGTCCGTCTGGTATATACCGCATTCTGAAGTTTTAGGAAGTATGCATAACCTGTGTGAATACTTTGGTCACCACGTTTAAAAATATTAGCGTCTGCATTTTCTTTTCAGTTGCTTGGTTTGGTGTTTTGTTTTTTGGTCAAAAAACGGTTTTCTTAACACTTTAATTTACCAGAGGAGCGCTATCGCCGTCCCCATAGAGAGAGATAATCTAAATTAAATAGAGATATCCAGATTTCATGGTCGTCACCGTAATATTAACAACATTAACATGTATTCGCCAACAAAATCCTTGATTTGGCACTCTATTTTCCTTGCGTAGCGGTTATCGCTCTTTTATAGTTGCTTCAGTTGCAACTCGATTGGTGCTTTTCGATCGAGACTTATGAGACAAAAACCAATGTTATGACAACTGCCTATCTAGAAAAAAGAAAAATAACTCAAGGAGGCAAAGAGAAGCAAGAGTGAATACGCGAATGACCAAATTGAGTCTGGATTTAATTTCGTATGAATGGTTGAGAGGGAAGCAAAACCAATGCAAATCCAGATATTTACGAAAAAAATGAAAACTGCTTGATTTCATTAACGGGGCGAGCTCCAGTCTCCCAGGGGCTCATCCATATCAAGTTTGAGTATCCTAAAGTCGGACCCTTAATCAATCCTTGCAATAACTACGACAAATCTTTCCTACTCTCCCTCTCCGTTGGTTTCTGTTTCTGTTTCGCAACCACATATAGACTCTGAAAAACATAAAACACGTCAGTTTAAACAATAAAAAGCAATTTTCTATCCATACGCGCCGAGATAGATGAAATAAAATATAAAAATTACACAAGCAGTATAGGTGCTGACTTAAGATACAACGTCGTGAACACCCCTTTCATATAAACATAGCTGAAATCCTTCGTTCAGTTTTCACATTTAAAAATAAGTTGCTTTGGAATAATTTTAAGAGTATTGATTCTTTCAGTATTTCACCAGTTTTCACATTTAAGACAAAATGTACCTGAAAGTCAACAATAGGCACCTGGTTGGTCTGTAAACACTGGAAATACTCTGTCATTCAGCACTAAAACAAATACAGTCGATCTCCTCGTCTTCTCACATGATTCGACAGCCCTTTTTCACAATTGTTGGCAAGATTTGATCTACATTTTGGATAAAGAGGTAAGTGGAATTGGAATAACTCGGCATTGTTGATCTAAAGATAGAGCAAGGATACCTAGGCTTTCCATAAATCATTACAACGTGAGAAAGATCAATTAGCAACAAAAGATGGTGTCAACCTGTTTCGAAGAGATTTTTCGGCTTTTCTTCAATAGGGAGGCACATTTCAAGGATAAGACAAACTTTTCATTGCATTGAAGAATATGCTATGACTCCAGGGATTTTAATTCATGTGTTACTTAGTTGAATACCACAATGACAGAAGCTGGCGCGGTTTTAACAATTGGAAAAGTGTAGGAGCGAGAAATCAAATAAATGTTATTGCACTTGTTTACTTTTTGTCGTTGAATGTTATCCGGACTTACCGGGTGTTAAGAAAATTATTTAGAGAACATATAAGCTATAGCAAGAGATGTGTTACTGCAGTTAGTTGCAGACAAGTCTGTCATCAGTACTGTATGTTTTTCGTTTTGTTTAAATGAATAACGACAACTCTTGCGAGAAATGCAGCGGTTTAGAATTCTATTTGCGTGTAATTTGAAATGGGTCTACATGAATCATTTCTGTTTGTTCTCGTTCTTTGATATTTGCCCGATTTCCTGCGATTCCATGCCTTTGCAAGTATCAGCTTTCAGAACCTAAAGTGCCAATTACTTCAAAGAAGGCAATTCTCGTTGCATTGGGTCGTTTAGTCAAAAATTCTCAAAAAAAATATAAAGGCGCAGCTCACCTTGACAGGCGTACTTAAAGACTGAATTGTTAAGGGCAATGATTAACTCAGTGAATGTCAATAAAAAATTGACACTTTTTGTTTGAAATACCCTCCCAAGGCATAAATATTGATAAATACTAGCCTCACGAAAGAAAATTTTCATTTGAGAATCAACACATGGCAACAAGATTTTCAGGATAAAACAGTAACAAACCAGTCTGCAAAATTTGGGTAAGTGCTCTACTATCCCACATAGTTTTCGGGGGAAATAAAATTACTCTCTAAAAAACTGACATTCTATGTACAAAACAGTTTAAACGTTTTTGTCAGACAAGCCTAATTTACATTGCTTTTTCCGCTAACAAACACAAATAACATCTGCCTTTTAGCGAAATGAAAGGAAATTTTCTCATGTTCTTGTTTTACTGCAGTCTCGGTCCCCTTTGAATTAGACTACTGCGCGAGCTTTTTTGCAGACAACAAGGTAACGTTGTGCTTTTCTTGGTCTATCTTTTACTTTACAAAGAATATTCTGTTGTTCAGAGAAGCTTTCGCCATTTTAATTTTCAAATTTATTAGCTGCAAACTAACAGACGGACTTGTGCGGCTAAATTTCATTGATCTCGCCATTTCCATTTGAGGTGAAAACCACAACCTACATGTTCTGGGATGAGGAAAACATTCTTAAGTCTATTTTTCCAAAATCTCAATAAGTTACTTATTCTGAAATCAGCTTGGCTCCAGTTTCGTGGTAGTGAAGCCCAGTCTTACAGTTGATTTGTCATTGCTTCGCTTAGAAATCTACCTCTATATTGAGTTCGACTCAAAGAAGATCATATTTAATGCCGAAACTCACCCAACGTTGCCTTGACTTTCAGTTAAATCTCACTCTTAATTGTGTAATCTGTTTAAAACTTGATGGATTTTGTTTCGACCATTACATTCCTTTTGGACTCAAAATTCTTAAAAAGTAACTAATTCATGGAAATATTTCACAACGGCGAGCCTATAGATGCACGGGAATGCACTTTGTACTTATACGCACTGCTCTTAGCTCACCTTCTTACTACTATAAAAAGATTTCGCGTTTGAGAACAGGTGATGACAAAAAGATTTTTCTTCGCAGTTTTCAGAATTTCTGATAAAGATGAAGCATCTACAAGGCGAAAAGGATAAACTATTACGGATATGGTCTTAACGAGTTTTGACAGAATAGGCTGATATACTTTTCTGTCCTAAACAAGAGCTTTCAAGAAGGCTTCGGTTTAAAAGTTCTGTTGCTCTTCATGAGATTTAAAATAATGCTAAGCTATACCAACTTTTATGCAGTTTATGCAGATATGCAAACTTTGGTCTGTCGCTAAACTGAATTAAATCGACTAAATGGAGTTCAAATCACCAATGCCTCGCACTACGCTAACTGAAGCGTTGTACAGTTAGTTAGTTACAAGCAAACCCTAGAATCTTTGAAATTACACAAAGAAATAGTGCATTGCTTAAGAGATATACGTCTAGGACTGTCGGTTCCCTGTGAAAACCACATGATCACAAAAATTGTTCTCAACTTTTCTTTTCAGAATCCTCGGCAGCAATGCTCTCTGTGACTAAAATTCTATTACAAGTGGGCGTTGTTCTAAGTATCGTTTCAGGTATGAAAATTATATTTGAAAACCATAGCTTTATTATCGTTTCGTGTGACAGTGAGATATAACAATACTTTGCTTTTATTTCCTAGAATCGGTCACGTCTACCATCAACCGAAAGGTATTCATAAGATTTTGATTTGAAAATGTCTCATTGTCACGAAAATCAAAACTTCATTATTGCGTTTTCGACGTCTACGGGTGATCTCACCATAGCTATTGTTAAAGAGTGAATCATTTATGTAAACATAATTACTGCGATTGAGACAATTAATTCCTTAGGGGCCAGTCTGTCTTCAAAATGGAAGATCCCACCTTTTTGAAAACTAAAAGCGAGCCCTTTAGGAAAGCTTGCCCCAGAGACTCAAACCTCGCGTCATTCGCGCATCTCAAAATGCCACTTCCAACCAGCGACATTTACGTCCACTACACAAAGTGCGAAGCTTTGTTTCTTGGACCCCAGACGTTTTTAGTGCGATCTTGATGGACAAATTGAGTCTAGCGAACCGAGGTTTACATGCTATACTGAAAGTAGTTGTAAAATGCCAATAAAAGTTTTTCATGATCTTGTGATTAGGTTCCAGCACTCCATCATCGAATGACAAAAAGGGAGATATCAAACTATTTTGGAGCGAACTCCCACTCAGAAGGTCCGTATTCAATGTAATTATTTTTCTCATTTCGGGGCCCCTTTTTATTCATCGCCTGAGAGAGGTGGGTTTGGAGGGTTTTGGGGCGATCAAATCTTTTTCAGAGGGAACAGAGGGGGATCACAAATTGAAATACCACAGAGCCTCAGGGGGATCACGTAAATGTTAGTGTGAGACAACCAAAATCCTCCCACCCCTCCCATACTGCATTGAAATTCTCAGTTTGTATCAGAAACTTAACAAACATTGCTCATCTTGTCGTATTTATTGTTTGTTATATATTTGCACTCGTGTTTTATCAAATGACTGTTATGTTTTATTATTGTCATCGTTAGTGCCTGAGTATGAAGTCATCTCGCCATTCCAAGCAGACGAAACTGGGGAATTTCTTTCTCATGAACTTCACAAACGTAGTCGCAGGAAGCGAAGCACAGATCAACCCAATAACTGGTTTTATAACATGGAAGCGTTTGGTTTCAAACTCCATTTGAATGTCACC